GCTCCAGTGGCCCAGTCCATGGAGAGCTGTGCTGCTAACCCAAAGGATGCATCTTGATATTACCCTTGGCCGTGGACCATTCCAACAGGAGACATTCTAGGACAGTCCTGCTTCAGGTGCTTGGCGCTGTGTTGGCATTACCATTGTTGTTAGTTGCCAGTGAGTCACTTCCAGTTCACGACTGCCCCTTAGTTACAGATCTGATCTTCTTGACTTTAAATTTAACAGAAGCAGATCACTGTGCCCATTTTCCATAGGACTCCTAGGTTGAGTTGTAACCCCACCTTAGGTTAGTGGTCAGGGGCAAACCATTTTTGCCACCCAGCCTATAACTCTGAGATGTATCACTCCCATAGCAGTGATGAGTAGAAATAAAGAGAGAAACTTGGCAGGAACAAGAATTGCAGTTGAGAACACCACTGGCCCTTTTCTCCCCTTCATTGTCAAATTTTATTTTGTTCAATTGGTTTAGCCAGTGAGGTCCACCTACCCACAGGGGTCAAGAGGGCTATTCCAGAAGAGGTCAAAATGGGAACCCCATTGTCTTGAATCTGACTTTCAGATAGTCTGACTTCTTGTATTTTGCAGTGTCAAATACTAGAAAAAAAGCATTTCCTCTGTGCTAGTCTTGAATATTAGAGATCCTTGGGATATTTGCAGTCAGAGAACAGGTCACACTGGTCTGTTCTCTATTAGCTGTATCTTGACATGGAGAAGAATAGTATGAATTCATCTGATACAGACACTTCTTAACCTTTGACTTTTAGGGCCATAAAAGACAGAAATGCTTTTCTAACTACCTTTTGGTCTACTTTATTCAACTAAATCTATTGTCAGAAAGAGTTCTTTAATTCTAGTCTTGTCCTTCTTACTGGTACTCACAGATACAGTTTCAGTTCTAAGAATCAACTCTTCACATTTCACTCAGTATTTCAGTTCTCTTTCCAGGCTCAGGTCCTGCCACACCAATTGCCTTTTTTCCCCCCACCTTTTTACACACTCTCCCCCTTTCTCATTGCACTGCTCTGGAGATCAAAAGACTCACTGCAAGTGGTCTCTTTCATCTCACCCCCAGCTCGGCCCTGTAGTGGGCTAGTCAGACCCTGTATTCTCTCAGCCTGCCTGCCTTCCTAGGAGGAGCTGAGTGAGTCCTGGAATCCTTTGAGAAGGTTAAGTTTTCTATTATACTTACTCATCCCAGTAGGTTTTGGTTCATGAATATTAAATAATTAGAGATCATGAGGTCTACCACCATCTTGCACCCTTTACAAACATAATTGCTCTTGTATTTCATGCCACTTGACTTTTGTTTATCCTGCAGGATCAGGGCACCGTTCAGGCTATAGCAAGGCTGTTAAATATTTACCCAGGAGGTGGATATTTATACATGAATCAGCAGCATTTATCAGATGTGACACCAGATGTTGGGTTTAGTACCCTTACAAGCTAAGAACTACTGGCTTAAATAAAAGGGTGAAATAAGTTGTCTCTCCTGGTATTTAAAATGCTTCATATATAGACACTCACTCTGCACAAGTAATGAAATCATTCCTAACTAGACATGACAGAGTGAGTGGTCTGTCCTATCTAACGTCATGTGAGTCCGAGTGTATGAGACCCTAGGAAGTGCTGAGGTCTCTACACAATTAAGAGGACTGCTCACTCTGCTACTGTGTAAAGAACTGAAGAGAGATGTGCTGCACATTAGATTGTTTGAAGGGTGGTCTGAGAGTCTCCAGGGGCTCTTGGTCATCATTGGCATCCTGACTCTGGGAGACGCACTGTGTCCTCCCATTCCTGCAGAGCTCCTTCATGGTTAAAATGGTCCTGCTCCCTAGGTGGCACAATTGATTGGCTCTCCTTTGACTGCTGGCTCCATCCTGGGCACCAGGGAAGAAAGTGTTGGTCATTTCATAAAGGTTACAGCCAAAAAAGCACCACAGAGCAATTCTCCTCGGTACCCCCCTAGTAGAGCCTGGCCTGGGTTTAAAGCTCGGACCTTACCATTTCCTAGTTATGTGATCCTGAGATCTCTTCTCTACTCTGAGGTCTAAAATCTTTCCCTGGGTCTAAAATAATAATATATCCATCCGACTGGACGGTAAGGAGAATGGAGTTAGATTATGTAAGAGAATGCATGCACAACAAGTGCTTACTTCTTAATAGTCACAGAAGCCGAACGTAGAAAAGGTGGGCTCACATCTCATGCTTATATGAGTCTAGCAATGAAAAAGCTCTCTTTATATTTCTGAATACTCCTACATTTTTTAAAAAAAATTATTATTGGTACTTTTGTTTAATGGCTATATTTCAAAATGACGTGATCTAAACAGAGAGAAAGTTTCCAGTTTAGAGAATTACCCACAGAGTCCTTTTTTGTGCTGTGTATGCAGTTCAATGAAGGATTACAGATTCAGTCTGTAATACTTTATACAGGGCAAAGTTTATTAGAGTCAATTCCAGAGAACTGTTTGGATTATAATTTCTTTTTTTTTTCTGGAAATTTATCATGCCAAAGATTATTCTACTACATATTTTGTGAATACTCTGGTTCTTGGCATTCTTTATACTGTACTGCTATTTGACGAGTGACTGCAAGATATGAATATTGGGCTTATATTTCTTATATACCAGCTTTCTTCTTTGCTAGTTTCCTATCCCAATGGAATGATTATAACTTTCCAGTGAGATGTATGCTCTCTGTGCGAATGAGAGAACAGAAAATCATCCTCTGGTTCACAGAAAGTTGGGAATTTTCCTAGGCTTTCTCCAAGTTTAGGATAAATTCTAACCCAGCGTTTACTCTACATGGTGCAAAAATAAATTATGCTTTTGCTGACTTTTATGCATTTGCAGGATGTAGAAGATGTCATCCACAGTCAAATGCTATTTTACGATTTTCTCAGTTATCAAAGTTGCTGTGTTTTTAGATTATCATGAGGGGGGAAAGTGAATAGTGACTATTTCCACTGCCCATTGACATTTTCACATCACTTGAGTTTTTGCTTGTGGAGTTTTTTATTCCAGTAGCCATGCTTTGCTAGAATAAATGTATCTTTTGATTTTATTAGAAAAACACCTTCAGAATAAATGCAATTATGGAAAATAGGGTGAGTCTCAAGTTCTTGTAATGGTTATGTACGTGTTCTTTCTTGTACCACAAGTTATAGGTTGAATTTATCTGTAAAAAACAATTCAACAATGATTTTCTAGGTCCTTGCTATATCATGGCCTTTATAACTTAACTGGAAGTGGGATGGGAGAGGCGGGAGCTTGGATTATGAGTAATCACAACATTAATGGATGTTAGGATTCTTTATATCTCACTATTTTACAGAGAGGGGACTCTGGTGGTCTAATGGTAAGACATTGCACTGCCAACCCAAAGGTGCTCAGTTTGAATCCACCAGCTGCTCCAAGGGAGAAAGATGAGCCATTTCCTTCTGTGAGATTTATAGTCTCTGAAAGTCCACTGAAGGGTCACTTATGAGTCAGTTCAGACCTGAGAGGAGTAAGAGAAAGATTTTACAGAATTTGGGGACTTATAGAAAGGAATATATTGAACTAAAAATAAGACTGTAGCAGAACTTTGTCATTTTCTGAGGTTTTGTACTGAATGTGCTAGATGTCTCTTTGTTTTTTCCCATGGCTGCAGAACCTGAGAAAACTCTCATGATTATTGATACATAACACACTATAATTAGTCTTTTCATATATTTTAAAAATTACAGTAAGAAAAACAAAGAAAGTGAGAGTGAAAAAGAAAGTGAAATTAAGATGAAAAACTACATATGAAACACATGCAATAAAGTTCTGAACAATATGTTTTCATAATCACATGCTAGCTGATAGAAACTGAAAAGCAGATCTTTGTGAAAGTTTCTAGAAACTACTTGTAAATCAGCTTCTAGTGTATCCTAGTGCTTAGATCGATGAATGTTAACTATACCTTCTTATGTAGGTTAATTAAGTGTCAGTGTTTACCTAGACTATAAATTACAAACTTCCTTCTCATATTAACCCTTCGATATGAGACCAGGCAGCAGTGCATTAAACAAAAAAGATTTAATAACTAGTTCTTAACATGTAATAATTGAATGAGTAAATTTAAAAATCTGAGTGTTTTTACTTCTGTTGAAAAGTTAAAGTCTTCATGCACCAGTCTCATCTCTTAACTTGTTAGAACCAACTGGTAGCTGACCCTCCACTGGGTTTTCCGAAGGCTATAACTTGCACATGAGAAAATTGCCCATCTGATCAACCCAGCTTGTGCTCTCGCATGTCAGAAGTCAACTGGGGCCAGGCAGTGGCGAGCCCTTTCCACTGTCTGTAAAATCTCTAGCTTACCAGGATCCCCTGCCACTTCTCTCCACTCATTTACAGCGTCTGCCTGGGCTGGATAGACCCTGGAATTTGTCTAAAAACTCCTACTTGAGACTATCAAACCTCATTTAAAAAACACAAGCCATGAAAGCCTGAGGTTTACAGAGCTGATAAACAGGAGAAGTAGTCTCTTCTTTCCCTGCTCCACAACAGATGCCCACTGCATCTATTAATTTTGGTTCAGTTTAGGTTTTATTGAATAACTTCTCTTTGCTTGGCATTGAATTGTACTTCATGAGGTATGTGAAAGTGTGTGTTTCGATCAGTGTTATGTACAGCTCTTTGATAGTGGTAACATATTTATCCATGCTGATGAGAACTCAGACATATACGTACTGCTGAGTTGGTTCCAATTCGTCAGTACCTAACAAGGACAATGAGGTAAGATCAGGAGTTGTTATTAATGTTGTGAGATATGAACATGTAAATGTAACAAAAAGGGTTCACTATGGAGAAAGTTGGTCGTAAGATGAAGCCCACATTCCCATCAGCATGATGATGAACCCAGGCAGTACGTGGCCGGACTTTGATAAAGGAGGCCAAGCCTGCTTTGGGTTTGTACTTGTTAAGTCACTTGACCCCTGAGAGAAGTGTTTATTGTTCTCTTGTCCTTACAGTGCACTTGGAGGCTCCTCAGCCCTTCACATCCCAGCTTTTCCAGGAGGCGGATGTCTCATTGATTATGTCCCTCAAGTCTGCCACCTTCTCACTAACAAGGTAAATGTGAACCCTTTGACCCCTCATCCTGTGGGAGAACGCCTCCTTCCCCTGTACACTACATGCGTGGCCCCCTCATTCATACGCTAGCCTCAGCAAACCAGCCGCTTCTCCCCCCCCACCTCACCCCCCACGAATGGCTGCCTCTCCTACTTGGAACTAAATTCCTGTTTCTCTTCCTGTTTCCTTGCCCTCCTTCCTTGAAAGACTTTTATTAACCTGCACCAGTCTTCATCTCTTAACTTGATATCTAGAGAGGTAAATGTTCTTTTTCTTGACATGTTTAAGCCTTATTTTTTTTTCCTAGATCTGCACCTACTTTTGGTCTTACTTTTTTTTTTTAACTCCTTCCTTTGCCAGTGAGCTGCTATGTTTGTGTGCTCACCACTAGATGATGTCAGGATAATCCTTTTAAAAACGGTCTTTATCTCTTTCTGCTTATCTGTTTGTCACTTTTTAAAAAGTTCGTTCTTGATTATCCTTCTTAATGTCTAGTGTCAGTTTTATAGTCTTGCTCCTAGGGGCGAGGTTTCTAAATCAACGGGTCTCCTGTTGAAGATTGCCTGAAGCTTTCTCTTTGCTGTATTTATTAATCCTTACATTGGCAAGTAGCTAAGTTTACTTTAACAATTGTTGTTAGCTATTTCCAAAAAATGTAAGAATATACATGCTAATGTCCAGCCAGTGTATTTATCAGAAAACTAGAGACGTTAGTCCTCAATCAGTGCTGCCTCCCCTTCCTCTCTCCCACATGGATGGTGACTCAGTTTGTTTAATTGCCAAAGTACTATTTTATTTGTTCCTGATGGCTTGTTCACATTGACTTGGAAAATGAATCTTTTATTTGTCTCTTTCATTCAGGAGAGAGCTCATCTCTATATAGAAAATATTTTTAAAGTGCAATAATATCTCAAAGCTTCTTCTTATTTTTTAAATGTCAGAGAAATGAAAATCTGGCAGCTCTGCAGTCTGTGGGCCTGGCATGGATTCCAGGGGATTCAATCTCATGGAGTGGCTGCTTCTCATTGGACCACATTTCCCCTGCCTCTGCCCTTCTGCAAAGCTGAGCGCAGGACAGAATTCTTATTTACATTCTGGGGCTTTGCACTGCCTTCAAATCTGTGTCCCAGTATTATAGAGAAAAATGCACATGTGGTTTTCCAGAACTGAGAAGAAAAAGCTTTTTTCAAGCTCTCCAATTGAGATTAATTTCTAGTCACACATTTTGCTCAAAAAATTATAATACCATTTTCCCAGAAATACAAGAATCAGTCCGTTTTTCTTATCTGGTTCTCTTTCATTAATTTTACTTGTCTTTTACAATTGGTTTTCTTGTGTTTTCTACAAATGAGGACAGTATGGGCTCCTTTTAGAAATAATCTCTTCAAATGAATTTCCATAATTACGTTGGAATCTATCTTTATAGCCAGTTTTGTTGTGGGTTTCTGTTAAAATGGTTTTCTGTTTTTAAAATCAAGTATACAGAACTGTTTTCATCCCCTTTTTAAAACAAAGCCATTTAAGCAAACTTATCATCTGTTTTTCTTTTCCCAAAATAACATTTCTGATCTTGCATTAAGCTTGCAAAGTAAGCACTGTTTTTCTAAATTGACATAAACCTCTGTTATATAAATAGAATTGTTTTACTTTTAAAGGGCACAAATAGCTATTGGTACCAATTGTGTCAAGGTTATTTCAAGCACTTTATCTTGAACTTTTGTTAGCCATGAAAGCTCAGTGTGACTAGAGCTGCTAAAAATGATTGGGGGCGGGGGAGGGCTTGGAGGGGTGTCTCTCTCCCATTGTTTCTTTCAGCCATTAGGAGGACTTTGTAAGGGGTATGTTTTCTTTTTAGAAGCTGATGGGTAAATGATTAACATTCAGATGCCTAGTTTAATGTATTCACAATTTTTTAAGAGGAACTGTCATTTGGTGATAATAAGAAAATGTTAATAGGCAAAATAAAATCTCCTATTATACCACTCTGTGTTTTTAATATTAGGAATTGAAAAAGAAAGAAAGAAGCTTTGTGCTGCCTTTTCAAGTTGTAGTTGAAGATAATGAAATAGGCTGGGTTGATGAGAGAAAAGTTCTTCTTCACGAAGAATGCCAGAAGAGTGGTTTAATTCAGAAATCGTCATTTCTCAGCCCCCTTAATGAAATTACTGATTCAAACAAAGATCTTCCATAGATACTAAAACCTTTAGAGGTGAAACATTGAGGGAACCTAGAGTTCACATACTTTTCAAGATGTAAACCCATAGATTGATTCTTCACCGTGGCTGAGGGAACAGAAATAACTCTTTTTCAGTGGACAGATATGGCTGTCACCATCTTAGCCCAGCAAGCAAACTTAGTACTGCCAGTGCCGTTTTATTACCAAAATTGTTTAACCTGAATCTAAGAAGACCTTTCCAGTTTATGTGAATAAAGGAGATGGAGAAAAGAAACAAGGGAGGGAGGGAGGGAATGAATCTGGCATATGGTACAGTCTACAAGACAACATTTAAAACACCCATGTTCTCCCTGTGCCTCCGTATGCACTCACTCGTGGAGACTGTATTCTAGATTAAAAAGACATCAAAAACCATGACAATACTTGATCCTTGATTTTACTTTGTTGTTTTGGAGACAAATGGGCAAGTAGGAAATGAACTCATAGAGCAATTGATTGTTAAGTCTCTGGGGTAAGATAGTTGCATTGTGATTTTTTGTAGAAAAAGGTCCTTGGTTTTCAGAGACACATCCTGAAGTATTTAGGGGCTAATTTTGTCACAGTGCCTTTAATTTCTTTTTAAATCTTTCAGCAAGGTTGATTGATAGATTGATAGCAAAATATTCACAGTTGTTGAATATAGGTGGTGGGAATATGTGTGTCATTTTACTATTCTTTTCTGCTTCTTTGAAATTTTCCATAATAAAGCATTTAAAAATGGACTGTTCTACTTCTTGGCTTTGGGTTCCTTTTTAGGTGCAGTATGTGATTCAAGGATATCATAAGAGGAGAGAGTACATCGCTGCTTTCCTCAGTCACTTTGGCACGTAAGTTCTTTCTATTTATCCTGTTATATCAGTGCTGCCTCGCTTCCTGGTAACCTAGCGTGGAGCCACAATGCTTCTTCATTGTCCTTTTGGTTCTTTTTGGTGTGCTGGTGTGTTGCTTACCCTGAAGCTCCCTAGAAGACATGTTTTAGCATTCATTTTGCAAACAGTCAAATCCCGTGTCTTCCATACAACAACATGACTAGCCCCAAGCATGCTAATAATAATGCCTGTTGTTGAGTGCTTTTTTGGTTGGCACAGTATTCTCCCCTCTCTTTTCTCACAGAAGTCACACAAGATCAACAAGCCAGCCAGGTATTCTTGACACACACTACTGAATTTCTGAAGAACTTTCTGAAACTCTGATAAAGTCTACCTGGAGGTCACACTCCTAGAGGCGGATTCAGGTCTCCTGATAGAGGAGTCTCACACAGATGGGGGAAGGAAATCTCCCACCAGATATGAAAGCTGTGACTCACACTTGAGATTAGGAGTTGGAAGAAAGTAAAGAGAAGCAGAAAGGGAGTGTGGAACAGCAGCCCCAGAGTAGGCATTTCCCCCTGGGCTGCCTGCCTGTTTGCCCTTGCCTCCAGGAAGCCGGTGGCTTCATTCTTCTGCAGTTCTGTTTCCTTAAGTGACATCAGAAGCCTTATCATGCTGCTTGTTGGGTTTAGATCAGTGAGAGAGGGAAGGCAAAGAAGGGAAGAAGAATGCAAAGAAGACATTTCTCAGTCTTCAAGTTGGAACATTCAGACCAAAGGATGGCAAAGCATTATGTTTTGTAATAGAGCAGAGGTTTTTAGTAGTCTGTTTATATTCTACCTTATTCCAAGCAAAGTTTACGAGTACGTATAACATGGCACAAGAATTTTAAATAAAAGTTAGGATAAAAAGAAAGCAAGAGTAAGAGAGAAAAATAAAATCAAGAATACTTTACACGCAGTGTGACATTTGTCATAACAGTATCTATCATTGCTTATCCAAGGTCTTAATTTTTCCTGTTACTAATAACTGTAATTTGTTCATCATTTTATGATTCGTCGTATTTGTTTTTCACCATCCTATCAGGATGGTTGCAGTGTTATTCTACTTTGTAGATCAAGAAACTGAGGCTGTGTTTGCCTGAGATCGTAATAGATAGAAAATGGCAAATCATGATTTGAAACTAGATGTTCTCATTCCAAATCCCCTGGCCATTCCAGTCTAGCACACTGGACTTTCCTATTATGAATTAAATAGCTCTGGCTTTATTAATGTATTCTTTACTTGGTTCCAAGTATTTTATACTCTTATTTTATTTGAGTTTTTTTGTGTGTGTTTTGATTACTTAGAGGCGTTGTGGAATATGATGCAGAAGGCTTTACAAAACTCACTCTGCTGCTGATGTGGAAAGATTTTTGTTTTCTTGTGCACAGTAAGTATGCTTTTGCTGTCAGCTTATATTTTTAAATGTTCTAAGCCACGTAGGATAATGGGTGAGAACCATTAGTCTGAGGTAGTTCCTTCCTTTTGTTTTCCCTGTGATCTTAAAGAGAAAATATCTCTAAACAAGTAGGTGTCAGCTTGTAATGAGCTTACTTGCTAGGGGACATTAGGTAGGTATATGGAGACTTTTTCATTGTTGTAATGTTAGAGTTGCTACTGGCATCTAGGAAGATTGCTAATCCTTCAATACATGGGACAGTTCCCACTAATAAAGAATTGTGTGTCCAAAGTGTTAGTACTGCCAAACTTGAAAAACCTTACCCTAAACAGATTACTGCCTCAAAGCATCTTTCCAGAATCAAGTCTCGGAACTTTCAAGATTACATACATCAAGATAGACTTGCTTTGAGCATTTGATTTTATCATCCTTCTAAATGATAAATCTACAGCTTTGACAATATACATAACTTAAAGGTGGGCCAGTACTTATGTGTATTCCCCATGACTTTTCCACAGTGTATTTAAGTGTTTATTGTGTTATTAACCAGTAAATAAAAACAGTGTCCCAATCCTCTCTTGAGAGATAATTTAAACTCCTTTTTTGTTATATGAGAAGTGACATATGGTGCCAAGTTCAAGTTACAAGTCAGTCAAGACCTTTATTCTTTAGTGGCTTGGTCTTTAAATCAAAGTCAAAGGAGTTCTGCCTTTCCCCGTTTTGGTAGAGAAGTGGAGTGGATGTGGGCTGACTTTACACAGTATGCACCACTATGCCGCACCATCGTAAATGGGCACAGGAAGAAAATCTTTGGTGCTATTTAGTCAAGGCATCAAGTAGTCAAAAAAAAAAATTATTTTCAAAAATGTTCTTCCCTAGTAACTTACTTTCAAGACTTTGTCTTGTTTAGGCTAAGATAAATGAGTTCATTTTGTATAACAATATTCTGGAACCAGAGATGCATTGCAAAATAGACTGGGGAGTGGGGGAGATAGGGTGATAGGAAAGAAAATGTGCAACAATGAATTTAAAAAAAATTAGTTCATTTTACTTTACTTCACACCAGCTGCTAATGTAGAAAGAAACCAAGAAATGTCCACAGGAGTAGAGGGAAGAAAACCTCTAGTTAGAACCTGGCTATGGTATAATCCATATAAAGATAATTGAGAGTTGCCTATACCTTTAAGGAGCTGGACTTCCCTACCCTTTAGGTGTTACCGGGACTACTACTGTTTTGTAACTGTACTGGCCTTGTACTGAGATCCCATTTAGTAGATGTTCAGAAATTAGGGCTGTCTTTTCAAATGCATCTGGAAAATGCAAACATACCACTTTATATTAATTATGTAAATGGTAAACAGAGGGTTGGAGAGGTAAAGATTTTAATCCAGGGTGTGCCTCTGAATAATTATGTGACCTTGTTCAAACAACTGGTTTAGTTTCCTTATGTGGTGCTGGGGATCTGGTGTAAAGTCCTGCAGAGACGCAGGAATGGGGAGGTCAGCCTGCAAGACAGGGCCAGCTAGAAGGCCCACTGGCCATCTCTTTACTCTTTACTTCCATGGTCATGCTGACGTGAGCCAAATCCTGGTGCTTCCAGACACGGCTTTTGGTTCTGGCCATTGACTTAATCCTTTGTGAAAACCTACTTCCTGTTTGCCACATTCACTTCACCTGCTCACTGCCTTGATCACAGTGTTTCTGGCCCTCCTCTGATAATCTGATCCCAGATCCCGCCTGCATCCTTGGTTTGTCTCTCCTGGCCCTACTGCATTGTTATCCCACCTGAGCTCAACAAAAGGAACCTCTGTTCTACTGAATAATAGTGGTGATGGGTAGGGGCCTCACACAGTTGGTGTGGCCATCCTCATCTAAAGAACAACAAAAGAAAAAAGTGGTTTACAAAAATATTAAATGAGATGGCTATTTCATCCCAAAGTGACACTTTGGTCTCTTAGCCATGACTCTGTCTTCAGTTGATGTCAGGTCATGCCAAATATCAAAGAATACCTTCTTCCCATTGGTCACTTCTAACCTGTGTTTTCCAGATCTGTATCAAAAATGAGTGTTGTAACCAGCAAGAGGAAATTGTCACTTCTTGCTGGTTACAATAGAAGAAAGAACATCTCTCAGACGGCTCCTCCCAACTCTTCTCAACGCATTCAGTGTCATAGCAGCTCTTGGTGCTTTTCAAAATCTAGTCTCTTAGAGGGAAATTTTTCTCATGAGATAACACATCTAGTATTTCTTCTATTCCTTAACCCACCTTTCTGTCTTGGCTTTTCAAAGTCAGATATGTAAAAATTGAATCCCAAAATCATATTTTCATTTTGTTTTGAATTGCCTCCTTCAGAACATGGAATCCCTAAGACACTCATCTCAGCAGCCACAGGGGGCTGGAGGATTTGTTTCATTTACTTTTTTAAGGTGTTCCCTCAAGCTGCTATTCCTTTCCTCACGGGCTCTCCCTTAGCATCATTGTCCATACACCCCGCAATTCTCATCTATTAGACCTAGTCTGTGAATCAAGGAACTCTGGATCACTTTTATGCTCTATCACTGATTCACAGCCTGTCTTCACATGAGCTATTTTCACCCTTTTGCTTCTTTCTTAGATAAAAACGTAGGCTTTGTTGCGTCAAAGTAAACCTTGGTAGACATTATGTGTTGTGCACTCATACAATTTAGCATCTGACATTTACATTCCTTTGGAAGCATCTGCTTACGTGGTTATATCACCCAAGGGAACACTTTTCCCCTTTTACTTTCCACAGAGATAAGAAGGTGAGTATCAAATGATAGAGATTAAGTGATAAACCAGAGTGGTGAATTGCTCTGAGATACCAAAAAAAGTGAAAAGGAGGATGTGCCTGGAGATAGCGCCTAGCACCGTCTTCTGTGGGGACTCCATGACTTCAGGGAAGGTGGGAAGTAGCAGGACACACCTAGCTTTGCTTCTGTGACCCCCTCTGTGCTCTCCCCAGACTCAGGAAGACACGTGTGAAGAGAGCAGGCATTAATGATGGGCATGTTAGAGAAAAGAGACGCTTCTCTCTTGAGACAGACAGCTCTGACTTCACACCTTGCAAGAGTTATCACAGAAGCAACAATGACCCAGAGAGACACATTGACTTTGTCGTGGGGTCTCACAGGATTGCTGCAGCATCCTGGCAGTCTTCCTGCTCTAGAAATGAGGGCTGTGGCCATGATTATTCTCAAGGAGTTTCTCCATCCATGTGTTGCTTCCTTCTTTCATCTATTATCAGCACGTTTTTAAGACTTGGATCTGGTATAGATCAGAGATTTGCTCTGGTACAGAGACCTATTTCTGGGAAGGTTTCCTGGCCATGAACTAAGAACTATTATTTAGAGGGTTGTTTTGCTAGTCTTACCTCTGAAGGTAGATAGGAACTCTAAGCCAGCAATTGGTCAGAATGCTGCAGTGGCAAGAGGCCCAGACAGTAGGGCACAGTATCGCAGCAAAAGGCAGAGACTGAGGAAAAGGTGGGTTCTTTGCCATGGACCCTAGCCACTGAGGCACACATAAAAATCAATTCTAGCTCGTTGAAACTCTATAGGATATAGTATAGAGTTTCCCCATAAATTTTCCAAGGCCATAATCTTTATGGAAGCAGATGGCTAGATCGTTCTGCCACAGGGCCGCTGATAGGTTTGAGACCTTGAACTTCCAGTTAGCAGTCAAGCACTTAACTAATGCACTAGCAGGATTCCTTGTTCACAAGTATCTCATTGCACCTGACCTTCCTTTGGGTTTTTGAGGCCACAAATCACACAGGTGGAGATTGCTGATCTTTCTCCCAAGGAGCCAATGGTGGTTTGAAACTGCCAGAGAGGTGACCTTTGAGTTAGCATAGCAGCATGGCTCCCAGCTGACATCAACAGCTGAGCTCCCTGTGCGAAGGTCTGTGCCGTCGAGTCGAAACCAACTCCAGCAAGGTTTCAGAGGCAGTAAATCACATGGATGGAGATTACCCTCCTTTCTGCCATGAGGCAATTGGTGTACTCAAACCACGTGTCTTTGGGTTGGCAGTGCAACTCCTTACCACGAGTCCGTTATAAAAGCTCCCTGTTCAAAGGGGTAGGCAGGGTTAAAGAAAAGCAAAAGGAATGATTAGGAGCAGCAGCAGGGAGTCATTACCAATCCTAGGCCTGCTTGGGCAAGAGGAGGGTGTGGTTACCACAAGCTGCAAAAAACTGTAACTGTAGCTAGGGAAGAGAGTTACCTGACAGGAGCTGGGACAGGCCTTTGAGAGAGCAGTGCAGTCATGGCCAACAGGTAGCCTTGCAGAAAAGGAGGTGAGAGAATAAATGAGTCACCTTCTCTCTCCCTGCAGTGGATCTCCAACCCAGACTGAGGCTAGAGGAACTTTAATATCAAATCTAGCAGTGGAAGAAATGGCATATTAAGCTGAGTAGGAGCAAACATTCCTCTAGGTCATATAGACCTGGTGTACAAGTTGCCGTACAGCTGTCAGCGGTAACTTGTGGTTGCTGTGAGGCTGAACACTGTGACACTGATGTGTCAAATGTGTTAATGGTTGGTGACCCAGTGCAGACAGTGTGGGGTGGAGCTCCCCGATTAAAACAAGCTTGGAAGGAGGAGTGGCATCCACTTCCGTAATAGCTTGCCTCCGGAAAACCTATGAACCTGGAGAGAGGATGAGAGACACCCAAGCGTGGAGGACTCTCCTTCATAGGGTCGCTATGAGTCGCCTGCAACTTGACAGCACTTAACAACAACAGGAACAAATGTTGGGGAGAATATCCTGTCACAGAAGTTGACAAAGAAGAGAATCTCAGGAAAACTTTGGGGTCCTGACATAATTATTATCAACAGAAGAATATTATCAACAGAACAATGGATACAGAAGCCAGCTGGAAATGAGTTCAAAAGTGAATGGAAATGTGTCTGTGAATGTGTGTGCACACGTGTGTGAGTGTATATGTGTGTATATTTAAATTTATATGAA